ACCTTGGTTTTGTTTCTACAGCTTTACTAACCCAGTCCATGTACCACTTCGTAAACCTGAAGACGACGAATTTTATATAACAGCACTTCACCAACTCACTAATAATATACAACTAAGAGATTTTACTATCGTTTCGTAGCACGCAATTCCAATCATTTCCCCATCGCACACTATGATCACAATGTCATCCGCTACATGGAAGATTCACCATGCGACACATACCCTGCAGTAAATTCACAGCTCACAGAAGATTTCTTCGTAAAAATTGAAAAATTTTCGGTTTGCACAGCAATAATAAAAATTTTCGACCATGTCATTGAGCATGCACTTAATAACATCAAAGCATATATTTTTGGTTTGCCAAGCAACAATAAAAAAATCGACCATATCATTGAGCATGCGCTTAATAACATCAAAGTATATCAGTCCTATTTTAGTCCCTTATAGTTTTCAACAAAAGTTAAATTTCATCAACCCAAAAGAACTCGATCGCACGAATTTATGTTGAAAACAAAGTTAACCCACACATAATTATTATCCTTTTAACCAAGACACTTCCTACAAAGCTCAACTTCTTCTAAGCCACACCATCGGTCTTTGTTTAAAAACTCAAAGTACACATCACCTTATTTCTTAAATTTCACTCATTGTATCAAAAGTATTAACCTGCACGGCATCCTCCGCTTCTATGATCCCGTTCGACAAATGTACATTTTTGCCCCCTCATAACACGTTCCCTGTTGAAGACTCCCGCCTCTTTATCATCCCTTACGAATACATTCAACCTGTTGAAATCCCACTGTTAGAAAACAAACGGCACGAAATTTAATCACAAACTTTATAATCTAATCCAAAATACTCACCAGGATTTTAGTGTCACAACAGAAGAACTTGAAGAAAATGTACTTGAGCGTCTTGAGCCACTATTACACACTAGAAACGTAATCAACATGTTAGCAAAGCTATTAATACAAGCACCTATTATCGAAATTAATTTCCGTAATGGATTTTTCTCTGATTCTGATTCTACGTTAGAGTTTCATTTTTGCTATTTTTTTTGACTATTTACAAACCATTTTTTAATTTTTTAGATTACCTTCTTTCTTGCAGATTTCATCAAAAAATTGGAAAGTTTCGAAAGTAACTGATAACAACTTTGAATAGCTCTCTGGATAATCGAACCAATTAAAATGCTTTTGCGAAAATAATTAATTGAGATCATAACTAAAACTGATTCACTTAAAGTGCAATTATAAGAAAGATGACTCAACGACGCTCCGACTATGCAATGGCAAATCTTTTCGTTTTGCTTCCCGCAGTCACAACCCTCACAGGATTTAAAGTATGGAGCCAATATCGCAGCAAAAGTATCAATTGAAAAAGAAAATGGCCAACTCGATGCCTAAACTCAAAACATACGTATACTTGTCACTTGGCGCTTCACGCAGAGACGTCAGCCCTTTGTCTCGCTACTCGTTACGAACGAGTTATTGAGAATGCTCGTAGTCTCGTTCTAATCTACGAACTTGACACTTCAATAACACACATCTGCAACTTCAATACGATCTTTTTGGATTATTAACGGTTTCTCAATCTTCATCAATCTTGTCACATGATCTTCACTGACACAATAAATTTACACTCTGGTCCAAGAATCGAGAAGACACTCCATGCATCCTTCACAAGAAAAACGTAGGCTTAAAAATTTTTCTGAACCACTGATGGGTGGAACCAGTTCAAAACAAGAATTTTAAGTAATTGTTTACCTTGATATTTATCCCTGTAAATCATTTAGGACTAACCAATCATGATCCATTACTAAAATTTATGATAAATTGTAAAGCTGAAACTATTCATAGCTTCAGCCAGAGAAAGTATGATACAGATCAGAAATCAACCGCCTCTTTCTCTTCTCTAACCTAGCAAGAATAGGAGTTTATACAAGAGCTTTTGAGACTAGGAAATATAAGAGTAAGAAGAGGATTGATATTAGACTAAGAATTGCATGAATATATCCGGCCGAAAATAAGATACCGTGAGAAAGAAAGAATTTTTTTCTCACTGTTAATGGTAAATTAACATATAAACAGAATTTAAATATGAAGCACCAGAAACAGTGAGGGGACAGTTAACCCAATTTGGTTACTCATCACTGCCCGTTTTATCAAATGAAGGACAAATTTGTGATCTTCAAAGACAAGGAAAAATATATAAATCTGAAAACATAAAAGAAGATATTGGAAAAGAAAAATACTCAAGTTTGAATAAACATAAAGCAGCAGATTTAAGGCGTTGTTTAGACAGATTAATGACATAAGGTCCACGCTCTGTATCAATATTTAAAGTGATGGTTTAATCGTAGTCGGTATAAAACCAAATTAAAGAAGAAGCTAGTTCAAATTCATCATTCATAATTTCTGAAACTCGCTAGTCGTAGGCACCCCTATTCGGTTTCAAAAACAAAACTTGAACTTGTTCCCTTCAAGGTTACTGCTTCTACCAACTGTGTCCCATCCCTTGAAGCCTCTCTAACATCAGCAGAGCTGATTGGGGGCTAAACGGTCAGTAGACATCCAACTGAGCCCATGCGGCAGTAACCAGCGAACAAGCCCAAGTGTGGTCTTCAAAACGCCGAAGACGCATTGAAAACCATATACAAATATACTTAGAAAAAAACTTGAAACAAGCAGGCACTCCACATCTGTCATCCTCCAGCATTATCCTTGCATCCGCAAAAAAAATGTCAACAAAAAACCAATTTGATTAGCTCTTCATTGCTTAATATAAACAAATCCCGAATTTCGTGGGCAATGCGTTGAATATCTGAATTTGAAACTTGATCAAAAAATTTTGGAATTAGGGAATTCTGTCTAAGTATATTAAAGAGCTTAGCTCCTCTGTAACTTATTGAAGCTCTTTGACATTTGCTTTTGAAATTAGGAACTTTCATTAGATTAAGATTTGACCTTCTGGTCATATAAGACGGTTTATCAATTACAAAAAGCTCGTTTAAAAAAGTCCTGCTACTGATCGCAAAACAAATTTGAGGAGTTCATATACATGCAGCTCGTGAACTGTTAAAAACTTTTCATCATTAAAAACTTTTCGAATGCTTTCGTATTTCCTTATAATTTCGAATAATTTTTTTTGGATCAAAAAAGGGGTAAAAGGTTTGTGTAGGAAGTGCAACCATACACTAATATTCCATATTGCAAAATAGGCTTAATATTAGAGCCATAATAATCAATCATAACAGTTTTGGGAACATAATGACGCATTTTCGAAACAATGCCACATTGTTTTCTAAGCGTGGATCGTATGAAATTAATGTGAGAATTAAATGATAATTTAGCATCTACATAAACACCAAGATATTTGCATGACCCTTCAATTTTCAAAGGAATGCTATTAATAAACAATTGTTGGTTGAAAGTACTGTTAAGAGATACACTAACTTGTACCGTTTTGTCCATATTTAGAGATAATTTATTCAAAAATAACCATTTATTTATAGCTTCTAAGTCTTGATCGAAGCTGTCAACCGAGCAGTTCAGTTCAGTGACGTTTGTGTCGTCGGCAAATAGAAAAACTTCGCTAAATTTACAGACTGTTGGAAGGTTGTTTTTATATATAAGAAACAACAGAGGCCCCAAAATGGATCCCTGTGGGACACCACATTCAAGACTTCGCCACGTTGATCGCGTTTCACCAATTTGGACAAGTTGTTTGCGGTGCTTCAAGTGACTTTTAAACCAAAGTAGATTTTTCCCACTGACACCATACATTTCTAACTTATGAAAAAGAATATCGTGATTCAGTGTGTCAAAAGCTTTTTTTAAATCAAGAAAAACTGTTCTTTTTGGTGATTTAGTTTTATCTAAGCGACATTTCTCTGTTACTTCGGCAATAGCATCAATAGTACTGTGTTTTTTTTCGGAAACCAAACTGTTTGATATAAATTAGAGAGTTTGCTTCAAGATAGCTATACACTCTGTTGTACATTGCACGTTCAAATACCTTACTCCAGGTTACAAGACGAATAGACGGTGTACATTATCCGAAATTACTCTATTAGAAGGCCACTCCGGACCTAAACTCAGTAGTAAAATAGGGTATTCTTTTCCCAACCTAAGTAGAAAATACTGGTGCTCCTTTTGGAGCCACCTTTACGACTTTTTGTTATCATCTGCTTTGTCATTGGATTACTAATGAGTTATCACATTTCATGCATTTTTAGTTCATCAATTGAGACGAAAAAAAAATATTTCTTTCAAACAGCAGCACAGTGCTAGAAAGCTTTTCAGACATTTCCCAATATATCTCGCAATTTTTTTGAAATGCATAATTTATACATATTTGACTTAAAGCTTTCTAGTTGATTACATGCAAAGTTAGTGTTGTTGCCTTTAGTTTTTTATATTCCAGATTATTACCTGCTAAGTTTAGTCTTTATATTTGGTGCAATTTTTGCCGCATAGCATTTGCAATTTATTTGTGTACGTGGCTGTTTTATTGGTAGCTAGTGTTAATTCTTTCAGGGTACGTGGTGAAGATGCAGGTGTGTGCGACTCCAAATCGTAGATTCGAATCAGTCACAGCAATAATTTCATTTTGACTGTTAATTTCCGTCGTTTTCTCGCTTGTGTTTGCGAAGCACAGCTTCATCTCTGTGTCGACAAGCTCATCTCAGCTTCTTGAGTTAGATGGTTGATAGTTTAATTTAATAAAATTTGGTGTAATTTAGTCCAGTATGCAGACGGCGATCTAGACGTCGCGAGTAAGGTCGGAAGTTTTTTATACTGTTATCGAACTTCTCTTCTGTTTGAATGGCTGTTATCCGATTCCCTCTTCTCGAGTACTTATTATCCGGTTTTGCTCATAGTTTCTTCATCTGAGGTCAATTGGTTTAAAATCTGTGTCAGATTAAGATGCGGTTGTTAGAAAATGTTTAGAAACTGATATTTGACTGGTCAAAAATGATTTCGTGATTTTACCTACAGGTGATACCGACAAAAGACCGCCTGGAGGGACTTCAAGCATTTCGAGAGAAAAGGAACCCCGTTTTTATTGGAGAATAGAATAAATCAATCAATAATTAACTTATTTTATTGAAGCAAGGCTCATTTTTTATGTGAATGCACTGAAAAACTGTTGCTTTCAGCTAGTTTGATAGCGAGATAATTGTTTCAGATTGGTCTTGTTTGGCTATTACAGTTTTGTTTTTTACTCCTCTATGCTGTGCTGAGTGATGTCAGTGACTCTGCACACAGACCTCGGAGACATAAAAGTGGAGTTGTTCTGCGATAGACCCACCAAGACTTGTGAAAATTTTTTGGCGCTGTGCGCCTCTGGTTACTTTTCCGGCTGCGCTTTCCACAGGAACATCCCAAATTTCATAGTTCAGACGGGTGACAGGACGAACACGGGCAAAGGCGGTGCCAGTATCTGGGGCAGGAAGTTCCCTGACGAGATTTTCGACAACCTCACGCACAACAAAAGGGGCATCCTCTCCATGGCAAATTCAGGTCTTAAATAATACTCATAATAATTACCATTAAAGCAAGTTTGTTGCAGTCGGAGACCTGACTTTTTTCACGTACATAAATTTGGTCTCAGAATGTTCAAAATTAGAAATGGTAAATTTAGACTCAATTCATAATGAATTCATATTTCTTTGCGTCTCCGCCCCCCTTGGTGTGGAGGTAACGAATACGCCTGGTACAGCAAAAGTCCTGGGCTCGAATCTGACCGAAATTTTTTCAAACGGCAATTATTCCGTTTCAAAGCAATTGTCGGCGTATTACACTTGCGGCAGCATAGTGTATTATTGAAAACCTTCTTTTTTTCTAACCCAAGTCACAAATATTGGCACTACCTCTGTGACACCTTTTTACCTTTTTTCTAAGCTAACTCGCAAATAAAAGGGCTCACATTTGTAGCAGGTTTAGTGTTGTTATAGTGTTCAACTTGCAGTATATTTACATGAGCTTTGAAATTTGATGAATAATGAGTTAACTCAGGGGCTTTTATTTTATAAATACTTTTTGAAGGGATTTTGACAAAAGTAACCCTAGGCTCCTGATTCTTGTTTTTCAATTTTTTTTCAATCTTCTTTGAAATACTGGACAAGTTTTAGATGCAGCATTTGAAAATTTCGAATGCAATGTTAAATTTGTTTATTGCGACGCGGGTGTCACTGATTTAAAAACTAGTGGATCCCGCGTAACTACCGGGTTCGTGGTTTTGGTTGTTAAAGCACGCTTCCTAATTTTGTATAAAACTGAATTGATAGAAAATGTCGTACATCGGTCTTTTTCTAATAACTTAGGGATATTAAATTGATTTTGAAGCTAAAGACTTCGGATCCAGTGATAGATTTAGCGTTCTGTAAATATCAATTAACTGGATTTCGGAAGGTATCAGCAGTACTGAAGATTTTTGTAGAAGTAGATGACGTAAATTTTCCTTATTGTAAGCCCAATATTAGAAAAATGCGTTATGTTTTGTTGACATTTTAAACATCACGAGACGGTTTGTCTGTGTCCACTAAAATGCATACCAGAACTAAAAAAGAAAGAGATTGCGTTTTCTTCAACTTTTGGGTTGCTCTGTTTGTAGGTCCGAACACTAACGAGTCCCAGTTCTTCTTCACATACAGCAGTTTGCCCCAGCTTGACGGAAAGTACACTGTGTTTGGCCACATTTTGCACGGACTGGATGTGCTGGATGAGCTGGAAAAGCTGCCACCAGTGGACCAGGAGATGAGAAGCTTCCGACTTACCAGCGATGTTTTTATACATTCAGTCACAGTACACGCCAATCCCATAGCCGACATGCATTAGCTATGAATAGTAGTGAGCAGACAGTGGTTACTTATAGTGATTACACTAGCATGTTCTCTGCAGTCGCTGTTCCGTCATGCATAGCGTGCAGTACTTCTTTACTGACTGAGATAGGAATGAACCTAATAAGAATTGCTGCAAAAAACCGCTATGCTGCTATTTGGGGTATATTCGAAGTAGATGTCTCTAGTAAATCCAACTGTGTTAATGCTAATATTATATGATTTTCCTGGATAACGCGTAATTGACTGAATCTGGCATTTTCGTTTAATATCTGCTCTTATTCCCGCAATTTTTGCAATATCGAGATTGCGAACCGTAGTGTGTTAGCTTAAAACTTCTTGTTTTTTTTAAAACTTAACTCGCAAATAAAAGGGTTCACAGTTGTAGTATGTTCAGTGTTGTTATACTGTTCAACTCGCAGTTTTTTTTCATGACCTTCGACATTTTTTTTTAGTAATAAGTAAACTCAGTTGATGTTTTTTCAATGCATCAATTGAACCACGTAAAAGCTATTTGTTCTATACAACAGTATAATAATAAAATAACATTTTCGAAATTTTCTAGCTCGGCATACTTCCAAGTTAATTCATAGAGAGAATCGGGGTGCGAAAACGAGAAGTTTTTTTTCCCAAGCTCTTAAAGCTTTACAAAGAGGTGAACTTGCATTTTGCATACACAAGCTAAAGTATGACCGATAACGCCATTGGGAAAAACTGAATGAGTAAAACTTGGAATCTGCAAAATTTCTTAAGTGACGCACGCCATTTATGAGTCTGAATAATTGCTAAGTGACGCCAGCCAATTATGACGCGTTTGCAGTTTCAGTCCATTTGGCAAAAAAAATACCAACTAACATGCCTCAAATTATTGAGCAGACACATTTTAGCTAGTAAATGAAAAATTTCTTGAAAAACTTCCAACCCTTCACAGGTTCGAACTCTTTTTAACTCAGGGGCTTCTTTGAAAGACCTTTAAAAGGGATTATAACAGAAGGAACCCTAGGTTCCAGATTCTCGTTTTTCAATTTTCTTTCAACCTTCTGTTGACTATGTTTTGGTTTTCCATACGTCATGAGAACTCCTGTTTGTGAATGTTTGCAAGAAAGTTTTCCTCACCGCTGCAGTAGCTTCAACCATTTGAAGATATAGAAACAAACGAAGATACGCTACCGAAATGCATCGAAGATCGCATAAATCAATAGAAAAAGCTCCCGATTCAATTGAAATCAGAAATAAGTAAATTGTAACACGTTTTTCATATTCGTTTTAAGAAATACTGGACAAGTTTCAGACGCAGCATTTGAAAAATTCAAATGCAATGTTAATTTTCTTCGATGCGAGACGGGTGTCACTGATTTAAAAACCGGTGGATCCTACGTAACTACCGGGTTCGTGGTTTTTGGTTGTTAAAGCATGTATCCTAATTTTGTATAAAACTGCAATAATAGAAAATCTCCATCAACTGGGTTTCGGAAAGTATCAGCTGTACTGAAGATTTTGGTAGAAGTAGATGACGTAAAGTTTCCTTATTGCAAGCCCAATTAAAGAAAGTTGCGTTATGTTTTGTTGACGTTTCGAACAACAGGCTATATTTTGTCTATGTCCACGAAAATGCATACCAGAACTAGAAAAGATGGAGTTTGTGTTTTCTTCAAATAAATTTTGGGTTGTTCTGTGTGCAGGTCCGCTTCTCTCCTGGTTCACTAGGGGAAGCTTTTCCAGCTCATCCAGTCCAAGCAAAATCTGGGGGCAAACTTGGAATTGGTGGGAATTGGCCTGGAGGTAACGAGTACGCCTGGTACGGCAAAGGTCCTGCGCTCGAATCTGACAGGAATTGTTTTTTTTTCAAGCGGCAATTATTCCGTTTCAAAGCAATTGTCGGCGTATTGCACTAGCGACAGCTTAGTGTATCAATGAGAAGCTTCTTTTTTTTGTAACCGAAGTCGCCCTTTTTGGTGCCACTTTTGGGGCACCTTAACAGCTTTTTTTCTAACCTAACTCTCAAATTGAATCTCTTATAATCCTTTCTATAATTTTTCGCAATCTCTTTTTAATTTTCTATTACCTATTTGAAATATATCTCCAACTTTCCCAAATCCTTGACCACATCTACAGGTACGAAAACATAAAATCTATTTAATTGATACGAACCATTTTTAGTCGAAAAGATATATTTCTTTTATTCATAATTTTTCTCACATTTTTAATATCCCTAATCATGACAATGTGCAAACGTATAAAAAAGGCAATAGTCACATTCGCCTTAGCAACTATTCTTTTGATACTTTTTATTGAAGAATATTATAATAAACATAAATTTTCCCAATAAAATTTAACACTCAAATACCTTTTCAAAATTGCTAATCAACCACCACCAAACCAGCCCCCACCAACAACATCCCAAGAAAGTCCAGTAACACCTACAATTACCAACAATCCCCCACCATCAACACGAATTTTTTTTCAAGACAATCCATATACTTTTGAAGAACGACACGCACGATTATCTGAACCATTAGAACCAGTTCATCGCCAAGCATCTTTAAGCGAACCACAGCTTACAACAAGATCTTAATCGAGTAAGACATATAAGCCAAAATCAAAACACACTTGAAATAATTAGACAAATCATACATCCAAGAAGAAACAGAAATTTTCAGACCCCCAGAGTTCCTTTTAACATACCTCAATCGCCGACACCAACTACCTCAGAACTTTCAAGTAGTACACTACCAGAAAATCCCACATTTGCTTCACAACAAAGCATCTCAAATATTCCATCAGACTATGTAGGTTCAACTCCAACATCAGAACAAATTCGAGAAAATCCTTTTAACCCCCCAGACACCACCGAAAGACCACCATAATGGACAACACACTCATATACTCAAGGTGAACCAAATTTAGTGAATGAACCAATAGATATTTCTTCTGATACAATATTATCATCTCTACCAGAAACACTTTCACTTCGATCAACACCATCTTTAAGTCAAATTGCACCAACAATTTTCCCCCTGAATTTCCCCACCAATCTTGACGCAAGATACCAAGAACAATCATCGACAAATACCCCTCTACGGTTAGATTGGAATACTTTCGTAGCACCTCCCCCACTGTTTGGAAAACATCAAAAAATCAGACGACTCCACAATCGGGCACTAAATAGATTACAGTATAGACAAGATGTTCACAAAGATATTCAAGAACACAATATTCAAATACTTCAACAAAATAGTCTCCAATTAAAATTTGAAATCTCAGTCAGACTTAATAATATTGTTCAACACCCTTTTCCCCTAAGTCCACCAAATATAACAGCTCAATCATTGCCTTCCCCTATTTATAACGACTGAAGTCATATATAAATACGACAGATATACCAAAAACACAATTGGATATCTCACCTTTTATAACCCATACTCAGGATTATCATACACATGTATATTTTAAAATATTAACATTTCAACACATCCTTTCTCTAATTTTTTCCGAACAAAACACAAATCCATCTCCTCGCACAGGACCTCAGGATTTGTTAGTAACATACTACCATTGTGAAGAAAATGAACAAAAAACATTACATAAATATGCAATAAACCAAGTAAAACAATGCGAATCAGAACCACAAGATATAGAAACCACAAACATACTTGCAACATTGTACTCGAAAGCCCGAGCAACAACACTTACAGGCTATAAATTTACAGCAAAACATTTTCCGAAAAGAAAGTACATTGTTCACAAGTTTCAAATGGAATTAAAAACCGACTTGATCACGAGTCATTCTACCAAAGTAATATAGAAAGACTTTTACATCTAAGTCCCGAAGATTGTAGAAACGAACTGCTCAGATTAAACTTGACAATGAATAAAAAATCAAACAGAAAAATAGTAAACTTTCAAGTCTTCGCAGACTCTGTACATCAAGCAGAACTTGAAAGATAGCAAGGACATATTAAACTAGACGAAAGATATCCATACAACGGCGCACACGGACGACTAACTTATGATATTCACGACAAACACTGAATACCATATATTGGAATAAATAATCCTTCAAACTGCAAAGCAGATACAAAAGATAAAGGATACCAAGAAATAATGTTTTTGACCGGAAAATACAACTCGAAAAAATACAACTCACACAAGATTTAAAAGATAACACTATAATTTATCAAGGCATCAGACTACCTTGCAAAAATGACCAAGGCTCTTGTGACCCTACAACAAGGACACAAGCAGCTAAAATTGTTTGGTTTCCCGAAGATACTTAAACAACCTTTCAAGTAGCAAAAATCCACGCTCTAATGATAAAATTCCCTGAAAAATATTTCATTGAATCCATCCCATTTGACAATGTCAATCCAAGTCAATTAAGAAGCCGCAATATTAAATTTAGGAACATTCACAAATAAATTTTCGAATCTACCATGAAACAGAATTTGCATGTAAATATCAAAATCCACTCCACAAAACACAATATTCCGAAATACTTGTCAAATACGACGAAGGTTTCGATATGACCACTGGAAGATTTTCAAAGACACTGTATTCTTGTTTTTGACTTGACTTCCTTACAAGATACAGCTGAACGAATGCATCATCCAGAACTCAGCGGCAAAAATTTGAGATTAGAAAAGTTTTCAAATCTTCATTTGCAGTAAAAGACGGATGTGATCGTCTTGGAGAAGTTCAATCAAATCGACAAATTCGGAATGGTTGCTAATTTTTTTATAAAGTTTTCTGATTTTGTAGGTTCCTACAAACAACAGTTTTTTTTGGGATTTTTCATCGTTATAGTGTTTGTACCATCTGTTTTAGTTTTACTCAGACTGAAATTTCCACCAAAAGTTGGCAGTGAATGCTGCGTAGTTGAAAACCCAAAAGTTTTCTAATATTTTTATTCTAAAGCCGTGTTCAATTATCTTTGTCCAGAAAAATTTTCAATAATGGTGTAATAACAAGAATAGCAGTCGCAATGGATACAAATTCAGCTGTTGCGCTTTCTTTTCGTGAAATATTTTTTTCATATATCAAAAGTTTCATTTGAGAGAGCTCAGAAATATTCGGCGTGGAAAAGCAATTGTGTCATCAGAGACTTCACCGCTCATTGTTGCCAGTTTTACAACAATGAAAGCAAGCATTTCAACGAAGATTTTCCAGCTCTTCCTTAGGAAGATTTTCAAAGACACTGTAATCTTGTTTTTGACTTGACTTCCTTACAAGATACAGCTGAACGAATGCATCATCCAGAACTTAGCGGCGAAAATTTGAGATTAGAAATGTTTTCACAATTTCA